CACACACACTACACGTACACTACACATGTACGTACACACATATACACACACACGTACTACACACACACATATTTTTTTACTTATTTTCTGTTTTCTATAATGTTTAGATGAATTAGAACTATCTAGTTTATTTTTAGAATGTTAGAAATGTTATCATCGATGAATTAGAAATATGTTAATGTTTAGTTGAACTAGTTGAATTAATATATAGAACGAACTAGTTTATTTTTAGTAAATGCTTAGTTGAACTAATTGAATTAATATAACTAGTTTATTTTTAGTAAATGCTTAGTTGAACTAGTTGAATTAATATATATAACTAGTTTATTTTTAGTAAATGCTTAGTTGAACTAGTTGAATTAATATAATAACTAGTTTATTTTTAGTAAATATAATGCTTAGTTGAACTAGTTGAATTAATATATAGAACTAGTTTATTTTTAAAAAATGCTTAGTTGAACTTGTTGAATTAATATATAGAACTAGTTTATTTTTAGTAAATGCTTAGTTGAACTAGTTGAATTAATATAACTAGTTTATTTTTAGTAAATGCTTAGTTGAACTAGTTGAATTAATATATAGAACTAGTTTATTTTTAGTAAATGCTTACTTTGAACTAGTTGAATTAATATAACTAGTTTATTTTTAATAAATGCTTAGTTGAACTAGTTGAATTAATATATATAACTAGTTTATTTTTAGTAAATGCTTAGTTGAACTAATTGAATTAATATAACTAGTTTATTTTTAGTAAATACTTAGTTGAATTAATAGAAGTAGTTGAATTAATTGAATTAGTAAGTGTTTAATGTTTCGCCTAATATGAACATAGGAAATGTCGTCTGACGACGGAAAAAATTTCATTATGTGCCAATACTGTGAAGACCAGCGCGGCCAGTGCCACAGAAATTTTCTTGTTGATGGTAGGCGATTCAGCATCAAGCTGGATGAGACTTTCGCATTCGATACAGTAACTCACAATGACAAGTCTGTTTTCGTAATTAAGCATGAATTATATATGCTTCATTTGCCTGACTTATGATTTTTAATTGTCACTATTCTACTAGCGCATCCCCTGCCATGCAAGAATTTTTGTCTTGGATAAGATAAGTTCAAAGATATGGAAACTATGGAGGTAAAGAGAGCTTACCTGAAAACTGAGCATGATGGTTATACTTTCAACGTCAAAGTATACAATACACACATGTACACCTATTTTGAATGCAAAACTTGGCAAGCACTATGCAAGGCTTATGCATTTGAGCCTGGTATGATTATCACCTTTGATATTCGTCCGGAAGATGATATTAAAGGTAATAGAGACATATGGGTCGATCTGCAGACGCCTCCAGTTCTACCATTATGTGAGTTCTTCTCAACTATATTTTTGTCTTTGATATTGCTTATTTCAAAAATAACTGACAACTAATTTCTATTGACAACTTATCTCCATTCAACCAAACATGTCCGGCGCTTGGTAGACAGGACCTACTACTGTCCCGGAGCTGAACTAAACTGCGAGGAGATAAGTCATTATGTTTCATGGCTTGAGGATCTTCATACTGTCAAGACAAATTTTCTTCCTGCACTTAGAAATGTTAGTACTCAAAACGTGCGACCAATAGTGATGGTATTGAACTACGGTCACATCTATTTAGGAATGATAGTAAGATATTTACTATTTGTCCTTAGTGCATATTTTGCATACATATTTTTTTGCTAAACTTTCATTGCTAAGTATATTAATTAAGTACTATACGATGTTCTTCAACAGGGACTCCCGATGACAGTTCTGCCTCAGGGGATCGAGACTAAAGGTCAGATGTCAATTGTTAGCTTACGGCCAAGATATCCTGCATTGCACATGAATGCATTCAGGATTTCTAGAAGCGATGAATGCTTAATAGTGAAAGATTGGAGGAAAATTGTTAATGATCGCAGAGAAGTACTAGGGGGCAGCAATGAGAAGCGCAGCCCACGATTAGGAGACAGGTTCATCGGCATGCTTCAGTATGATCAATCAGGACAGCTATACATGTTCTATGTTATTTTACCAGAGAGAGAGTAGCTAGCAGGAGTGATTCAGCTAGTTCTTCATGCTGCTCTTAATTAGTACTTGTCCTTTCATGTCCGTGTTCTTCGTTCTGAACTTAAGTGATTTGCTTTTGTGGTGTTATATATGAACGCTTATACATAACGTGTACAATGTGTAGTATCGTAAAATACCAGCAAACGAAAAAAAATTAAAATGAAAACACAAAATTAAATGAAAAAGAAATCATAAAACTAAAAAAAACCCAAACCTTATAGTACCGGTTGGTCTTACCAACCGGTACTAAAGGGCTCCAGGCCCCCGGAGCTGGCTCGTGCCACGTGGTTGCCCTTTAGCACCGGTTCGTGCTGAACCGGTACTAAAGGGGGGGGGGGGCTTTAGTGACCACAATTTAGTGCCGATTATGTAACCGGCACTAAAGGGCCTTACGAACTGGTGCTATTGCCCGGTTCTGCACTAGTGGGTTCGGACGTAGGCAAACAGTTTGAGGTTCGGCGTTGGAGATGTCCTTAGATACAATACCAACCAGTGTCGCAAGCGCTAACACCTTGTATACTATAAACTGTGTTGCCGTGATTTCCTTGCGGCTTCGGGCATGTTTGGTTGCCCACAAAAGCTCAACCATGCCCGATGTATACAATATCTTTTCGGTATTAGGATTTTTATTTATATGCAATCACTCTTGGGCTTGCATAGCACGATGCTTAAATGCGACACCTCGATAGTTAAGCTACAATGATCCCATGCTAATTATGCCATGTCACCATGCTTAGTAAGCTAAATTTCCCCTTGATTAAAACTCAAGTCAAATTCAAATTTA